CTCCACTACTTCAGGTTAGGGTTGACTTGATTACCCTTCATCTTTCTTGCAGATATTGAAGCCAAATCCCCCACATGCACTTTCCCTCCTTCCAGTTTGTGAGCAGATGATTCAAAGACTTGAGACCTGGTGGCTGGTGAGAGTGGTTTGCTCTAGAGATTAGCTTGTTTGTGTGCGGATTCCGGCTCAGTTGTGAATGTATTTGTGTTCAGTGGGGTCACAGGTCAGCCTATCAGGTGGGACCAGCAGTGTAGCCGGTGGATCTGGATAAGCAGCATCTGAGTGGTCGAGTGAGTGACCTCCCTTCGCCTTTATGTGGGAACAGGCCACCCACCGGGAGCCTTTTGGCCCGGAGGTGAGATTAGTCTGGTGGGGCTGATAAAGCTCGACGATGTCCAAACAGAACCACAATCACTGAGGATTACGCTGAGGAGAGAGAGGGCTCCCGCACAAAGCAGGTGGAGAGAGACGCAAAGGCCACTTACTTCAACTCAGTCCTTGTGTTTGATTTGATGTCTGTAGCCTCGAGCAAAACACATAGCAATTTAGGTTTGCTGCAGTCCTCAGTATCAAACAATGGATTTAGTTTTCAGCAGCTGCGATGTGTGATCAGTATTCAACCAGCTCATAGTCTGGCTTTGAAGCAAATGTCTTTCAGTTTTGTCTGCCTTACATTTAGACAAATGCTCAGGTGTCTTATGATGTGCTGAATACTGAGACTGATAATAAACCTGCAACTGTCAGCTATTTCAGAACAAAATTAATCGTCTACATACATATTAGCGTCTCGATGAAGCTGACCGTATTTCTCAAAACACGCCTCCTACGTTTTGAGCAAATAACGAAATTGACCGAGCAGTAGATAACAGGTCGGTATCAAATGTCCCAAATCCATCCATGTGTTGTATGGATATTTCAAAACAACACTGAAAAACTCAAAGGATGACTAAAGTCAGTAGGATTTACCTTGCGGGTAAAATTAATATCTCATAGCTATCCAGGAATTTCACTCAGCACCAAAATCACCAAAGTGTTAGAGGTAGACTGGAGAGGTAAAAGGATCAGGACCAAAACACGAGGGTTCATTGTGCCTCATATCTAATATAACTTCAGATATTTATTTCTAGACTGAAGCAATTGACAGTCCAACTAATCACCAGTCCTACATTGCGTGGGAACAACAAGTTTAAAAGGCAAGGAGATTGAGAACATTTTGGACATACCAAAAGTACAAGAAATTCCAGGAGAACATGTTTTGCTGCTTATCTTTTACTTCTGCAATGTGCCCCTTGGAAATGGAGACGCAATCTCATCTGCTTTCTTGGAAAAATCTCCACTGAAATCTTCTCATCAAGACAGATGGTAGGAATGATTTTTAATACTTTCAAGCGTCCTGGAGTAAATGTTCTGCTGCCAATTACTTGTACAAATCTCGAGTCAAACACTCCAAAGTTGCCACTCATCGATCTTCACTTTTCCTTTATCTCCGTCTCCTCTCTGTCTTTGCGGCGCAGACTCAGAGCTCAGTTGGTCTTGTTGTCTGATTCGTATTCCCCTCCCGTGTTATTCTAATACTCAAAGGAGACTTGAGGGGGAAGAGAAGTTGCCTTCAGGCTGGGGAAGCAACCAAAAGAGGGTGCGTCTCCTGTAAGTGCTTTTTCATGTTGCCGGCTGTTTGTCTGGGTTTCTGCCTCTGGTGTTTGCCAGATGAAAAGCACAGACGCCGTTCGACTGTGAACTGAGAGATTTAAAGCGCAGCTAAATTAAGACACATTTTGTCATGTCAAGCTGCCAGAATTTGCTTCTGTTTTGTTCCGACAAAGGCATTTTATAGGCCCTTTATGGGGATTGCTGCATGTGTTGTCCATCAAGAGTCCTCAGATGTAAGTCCTCGCAGACCAGACACAAGGTCGACTCCGTGCTGGAAGCCTCTCGATCAATATGTTCAGACGTTGAGAGGCTCAGATTTGTTCCCACTGAAGCTTTCACCTTTTGTTGTTTTTGTATTTCCCAACTTTGATATTTTCCCATACATCACAACAGCACTTAGTTCCCTCCTAAATCATCCTTCACCTCGACACAAATACCAACCAATCACCTGGAGGGTTAGGAACAGAAAACCTTGTGTTGGTTGAAGCATCTGGGGGATTAAGTCTCGAGTGTTTGGATTATGGATTATCATATTGTGTGTGGATTTAAGGACGAGCTGAAGAACGACAACACAAAGGACAGAGTAATCATAATGTCAGTGTGAGGAGTGGCGCCCCATTGTGATTGGCTTAGAGGACGGGCCAGGAGGTTTTATCTTCCGACTCAGGAAATTGAATTATGAAATAAAGTGACCCGATGGAAAAGGTTTCTGTGACAGGATGGAGCGGCGGGGGTTAAGCCGGTTTGAACGCATGGCACTTCACCTGAAGGTTTCTTAATTAGATTGCCTGACAAAAGCATTGAGGCTGCTGCCGGTGTGTGTGTGTGTGTGTGTGTGTGTGTGTGTGTGTGTGGTGTGTGTGTGTGTGTGTGTGGGTGTGTGTGTGTGTGTGTGTGTGTGTGTGATCTAAGTGGTACAGGAAGGTTGTCTCTTGACTTGGATTTCACTTCAGCCCCTTTGTGTGGTTGTAAGTGTGAGTGAGGACACTGCATGGAGACATCTTATCTCAAGGAGCCCATACATACCAGAGTGTGTTCCTTTTTAAGAACAATGCGCTCAAGTTACAACACATTGGGAGACTCTGTTGAAACCCTGGGTTACGGTCAGCGCCAATCTGTTTCATATCGGCACTTTCTGGTTGTACTGATGTCAAAGTTAAGGCAAGAGAAAGATTGAAACAAATACACAGTTTAAGGTGTCTTTAGTACGGTATCCAATCAAGTTTTTTAAACCTGTTTCCAAACCAAGTCGTATAATATAGGTGGTCCAAGCCGATACTGGTATTTTGTGCTGCCTCGTGCACACTCACCTATTAGATATTATATTACAAACATATTATATGTGATTGGAAAAAGAGTGCAGATAACCCGTACATAGGGACACACTACTTCCAGCATTAGCCTTGAATGTTGGCACTGAAAGTAAAAACTTCAACGGTTGAATTATCCAATATCTCTTCATTATCCAATTCCTGCAATACCAGCCGTCATAAGCTATAACACATATTTAATGGGTATGTATTGCAGCTATGAAGCTTCACATCAGTACTGGATAAACGTAACAATCACACTTTTGCATTATCAGTGTTTTCACCCGTAAAAAGGGTCATGGGCTTGAATGCCTTGGGGACTCTTTTCTTGGGCCCTCCCCACGAGAATGTGAAGTTTAAGAGAGGCTTTCCTGTCGGAGGTGTAGGGTTTTCCTGATTTCCCTGAGAGAGAAAGCATTCCAGTCCAATCATGGCAAATACCTGAACTTTTAACACGACCCTACTTACTTCAGTTTGCCAAGTCTAGCAGAGAGCCAGCTTTTCCTCCCCATGTAAGCTCCGATGTCCAACTCCTCGTCTGGGTTTCTTCCTCTCACTTTGTCTTTTTCTAATATCCTTTTCTTGCTTTCAGTCAAGGTCGCATTCAAGGCTTCACTTCGACTTACTGCCCGTCTTTTTTTCTTACAACAATAAAGCTTAGCCATGTTAGCAGCATCTCCAAACGCTAAGGTTGGCAATACCCAGGCTTTTTCTTTCAGCACCAGCGAGAATGACATTGATTGGGTGTGAAATATCTCAAAAAGTAATTGGTGCAAGGTCGAGAATGCACTTTGAACAAGTTGTCAAAAATCCATAGAGCAAAACAACCGTTTATCGAGTGATTCAAACCACTAATCTTTTTCATATTCCCTTCTAAGATTGCCAACAATCTGCAAATGAGACTCACTTTCCCTCCGAGGTCGATAAACATCTCCCCCTGCTAACTTCAGAGCTGTAATGTATGCATGCCTTGTGCTGGGGATTTCTCAGGAAATGTGTAAAGCGCTATTTGGCCCAACGTTGGCTGGAGATCTGTTTCTAAACATGCCCCCCCCCTCTTGCACACCACCTCTCCCGAGTCCTTATCAAAGACTCGGGACAATCAGTGGTTTATCGCTGCTGGAAGGGAGTGCAGGAAACAGATGTTGTTCTGATTAAACACACACACACACACACACACACACACAATTGCACCACACCAAGTACATGGTGCTCACTGCTGCTCCAAGGCCTGAGAGGATTTTAAGGCCAAGTCTTGGAGTCCAGAGTCATGATATCTGCTGAGCATGTGCTGCGAAGAGGGACATGTTGCCAACAAACTGGCCTTTTCTTGCGAGTGTGTGTGTGTGTGTGTTTAGGTTAAATAGAAAGCGAAAACGAGGCCAAGAAACTGCTTGATGTGCTACCTTGGCCTCTTCCTTTTGTTACGTAACCCCTCCATTATGTGCAATCATATAAAGCAGTAATCAAAGCATGATAGTAATCAGCTCTCCTCTGCACACATAATGACTGCAATAAGTGATGACAACGCTTATGGCCTTAGCCTCAGACACTGTGTGTGTGTGTGTGTGTGTCTTTAGTAGGGTCACCACATTTAGTGTCTAAGTGTTCTTTGTTCCACCTCTCTTCTCCTCTTTCACTTCCTCTCAGCCTACAGTAAGTATATCTTTTACCCACTAACCCTTTCAGCCCTCACTATGTTGACTGCCTTACCTTTCAATCTCTCTTGTGCTATATTCCCCGTGGAGTAGGCCTATGGACAGTGCTGTGTGTGTGTGTGTTTGTGAGAGTCGCACGCGGGAAGAAAAAACAGATAGAGATAAGGAAAAAGATTGTAAGCTAGAGTTAAGTGTGTGTGTGTCTGACATGGGCAGGAAAAAAGAACGAGATAAGGAAACAGATTGGAAGCTGGATCAAAGTGCGTCCCTGTGTGTGTGTGTGTGTGTGTGTGTGTGTGTGTGTGTGTGTGTGTGTGTGTGTGTGTGTGTGTGTGTGTGTGTGTGTGTGTGTGTGTGTGTGAATGAGAGGCACAGAGATCATCGTATGGTTTCTACTTTATTAAGAATGCACTTTGGCACCCTTTTATTTTCTTCACTTTAGGCTATTATTTTACAAACTAGATATAAAAGGACATAAATAAATGACATAAGTTACATGTACCTAGAGCTCCTGGACAAAAGTCAAACAAACAAGGCCGAAAGAAACATGATCATGTTGAAAACAAAAGTACAAAACAGATGGAGAGGATGTTAGATCTACATGGCTAGATCAAACGGCATCGGAAGGCAAACAATTACAAACATTAACTCTTGTTATTTTTTTTCTTCTTTTTCTTTTTGAAATCGTCCAACATTTAAAGGAAAAAAAGTATTTTACAGTACATTCTGGTTTCCTTCTCCTTCCCAACACGTCTTGCATATTTCCAAACAGGTCCTTTTCGATAGGTCAAACCCAAAGGAACATCGCAGTGCCAACAAAAGGACCGAGCAGTAGAGCTGTATTAAGGACGGAGGTGTTGTGTTTTATGAAGCGTCATTTACCAGTTCAGAAACATTCGCACTAGAGATAAATCAACAAAAAGCATATAGTCCATTGGGTAAACCTGTAGCTGTATGATGTGCTCTGGAAAAATAAAATACCCAAGTTTCCCTTCTTCATCCCCCTTCTTTGATCCTTTGTTGTGTTCCTTGAACTGCTTCCATCCTGACATTTTCTCCTTGACTTGTCACGAGCTCGGAGAGCGCAAACTCTCGTCCGTGTGTCTCCGTGTGTCTCCGTGTGTCTCCGTGTGTCTCCGTGTGTCTCCGTGTTACCCCCAAACCTGCATTCCAGAAAGCTGTTAAACAACTGCAGCTGCTGAGTAGAGTTTGCACGAGGGGTAGCAACACACCTTGGCTTTTTAGACGACACGGAAGCGAAGAAAATAGTCCGGGGTTTTTTTCTTCTTCATGTCAAAAACAATACGTCTGTTCTCGTCTCTTTCTCCACAGTGGCATGAAAACAGACACAATCACTGATAGTACTTCAAATATGTTGTCACTCATACACACACACACTCCTACACACACACATGCGCACAACCCATCACATTCGCACGCTCAAATCAAACGTTTGTTACTTTACATGCAAACAAAATAAAATGAAACTTTCAAAATAAAAGTACAACGTCCGCTGGAGCAGGCTTCTTGATTATATTACATTCTTCTTATTGTCTCTTTTTTTAAGCTGTTTAAATCATTCATCGTTGTTCCAGGTCATTGCTGGGCGGCCAAAAGCGCGTTTCGGCTAGTTTTTGTTGTGACGGCGGAAGTCCAGGACGGATTTGTCGCTCCATGGAGGAGGAGAAAGGGAGGAGGAAGACAAAGTGGAAGAATTCAGAGTCGTGGCGAGAAAGACCCTTTCTGTGATGGACGGCAGCAGCTGGGGAGAAAGGGAAAGGGAGGCTGCATCAGTCATGGTGGTTTAGAATATAAACAATTTCTGCTTGGCATCGAGTCCTAAGCAACAATCCTCTCCTCCTCCGTGGAACATTGGACTCATCTGCTAAACAAAGTGGGCCGCCGCACAGGGGGAAATATGGATTTTGTGGCAACGATGTATTAACTTGTGTGCGCCACATGCTGCCGTGTGTACATAATATATGAAACATGCCCTTGACTTATTGGCACACACACTCCGACACACATTCAACCAGCTGGGCGAACGCGCTGTAGATTCAGTGCAACCACACAATGCTCTTCTGTGATGCCAACGGAAATAAATCCGTTTGTTAAGCCTTCGACATTCCTCCAGCAGGAATGTGATTAATCGCAGCAAATGACTTTCAATATTTAATGTAGGTTTGGTTTGATGTTTAAATTGTTTGTACATGAAGTAAATGTTTGCATGTCGAAAGATGAATGGGTTTAAACTGTTTTTCAATACTTCGTGTTATTAAATGCGTATAAATTGGATCAGGATGGACGATGCACCGAACGTATACCGCAACTATTATCATTATTTAGTTATTGTGTTTCGTTTCTCACGCATGTTTTGTCTTCTCGAATCTTAGGTTTTGTCATACATCATTTCAGGGTTTCAAACTGCTGCTCGGATCTAACGAGCTATTTAAAAATATCAGCAATGGCCCCTCAAGTTTATTATCTGGATTTTTCACACATTTAATCGACAAAACGACTAAATGAGAAGCCCATTAAAAATGATCAACATAACTGTTAGGGGCAGCGTTATTTAAAATCAACACAGACCACAGCCTCCAACATTCCCATAACGTTTCATTTGACCCTCGTCAAACAACACTAAAACAATTGATTGGTGGAGTTATTGATTGAATTAGTTTGACTTAGTACTAAACCTGATTAACTGGCGACTACGTGTACACAATGTGGTCATAAATGTAACTAATGAGTTAAATTAGGTGAGATCAGTCTTGGTATTGCTCAGTAAGCAAAATGCATGCTCTATTCACTTGTTAGCATGACTTTATTTGTGTGAAACAATCTCAGTAAATGTCAAAATGACATGGATTGACTATTAAGAGAGAAAATAAGTGGTATCTGTTGCATTTAAATGAGTCAACATGAGAGCAATTCTTCTATCTAAGACCTTCCTGGTACCACGGGAAACATTTGTGTGTTCGCTCAAGAAAAAGCGGCAAAAAAAATCCCCTCTTCCTTCTCTTCCCTGGAAAGTATTTTGTCTCTCTGGTGGCACCGTGTTCGGCTGATTGTGAGTCAGCGGCTGATTCATTCCTCTCATTATTATTCCCGCAGCATCGGGCCGTCAGACTGATCACAGACCAGCGGCTATTGATCTGCTGTGGCGCGACCCACTTGTTAATTAACAGTTTCAGGAGCTGATGAAACAGAGGGGGGGTCTAAAGAATCTTTAAGGCACTCTGTGCTAGACATAGTTGATATTAGAAGCATGCTGCAATAATAAAGAGACTTCAGATCCAATATCGTTGCTGGTGCTGAATCGAAAAAAGAAAAGTTGTATCGATTCTCACCTTGATGACAGATTGAGTAATCCTGTTTATCTTCTTGGCGATGCCGATGATTCATTCTGCATCCATGTTGCGTCCTTTTGTTCCAATAAATCCTGCCAATACATTCCTTCATTCACGCGTCCAATTTAGAAAAAGCCAGCTGTCCATCTAAAGTGTTGAGGAAGAGTCCTTCAGAAGCCGGAGGAGGGGTGTTTCAGATGGGAGATGAGTGGAGGAAGAATCCAAATTGTGTGTTTATCTGAGGTGTGGGAGGGCATTATTTTGAGGAAGACAGGGGAGTGGGAAGGCTCCTCTGGAAGATCATAGACATTGTCAGAAACGTCCCGAGGGCAACGAAATACAGCGTTCTGGGAGAAAAACGAGGCCAAAAAAACAAAAAGCCCCCCCACTGAATCCAACCCTCAACCTCTCAGAGATTCACTGTTTATACACGACGGTCAGGATCCTCCATTTTGTCTGAGAAGATATCCAGCTGAGAGAGAACAATGGTGGCCGGGGGTTAGCCTGCGAGTCCCACACAAACACTTCATGTACAATAAACAAAGTCACAGGAAATCAAAGAAATCTGCTCCGCGGATTATTCCAGAAAGAAAGTTCCAGAAACTGCCGAGAGAAGGAGGAAGAAAAGGTAAGGTCTCCCCCCCCTCCCTCGCTTTTCCTTCCAGACCATTAAAGGCACTCCAGATTGGCCTCTCGGAAGCACTTTTCCAGCCGTCTATCCATAAAATGCTTCAGAAAGAAGCGTCCCGTTCTCCAAAAACAACAAAAAAGGGCAAGGTAAAAGTCTGATTCTTTAAAAAAAAAAGCATCTTCTTTTCTTTTAGATCCAATTTAAAGTGCATGGATGAGGTAAACTATTTTTCTCCATAGTTTACTTGTCTCTTTTTTATATGTATTTACTTTTTATGTTATTTATTTTATTTAACGCTTCCTTTTCCTTCTTTATTTCGTGTTGAAATCGCTCAGACGGGAACCATTCTGCCTTGCATCTGTTGCATTTGGGACAGCATTCCCTGGACGCTGGTCAGGATTTTGTTCTGGTGTGCAGACGAGGAGATGCCGATGCGCCCCATGTCCCTGCAAAGGATAAGGGAACAAAAACCTTTTAGGAACAGGGACAACGATAACACACATGTCGGCCTGGTGATGGTTTTCACAGCCTTGCTCTGGAGAACTGTCCTGACACTTTAACGGCTGTTTAAGGGATTTCACTTGCCAACACAGCAATCCTAATCCTGTAATCTTAACGGCAGAGAAATGAAAATATAACCGACAAGTGACAGACTGAGAAACATTTAACACACGTGGACTTTGCAAAATGTGTCGCAGATTGATTCTGCTCTTATATACACATATCTGCTTTCTCGCTGAGAGATATAGGAGGAGATTGACTCTTCATATAACTACTTTTAACTTGTACCAACTGGCATTATATTACTTCCTTATTTCTTTTATGTCTTAACTATATTAGGCTCTTTCACACCGGACTACTTTTCCCGTTTAGTTCCGTTAGTGCCTGGAATGTTGTGTTCACACCAAAAAGAGAACTTAGTTCAGAGAACTTTTACCCCATTGTTAGTGCCTGCTAGAGAGGTGGGACTTTCCTGGGGAGAAACAAGTACCACTTTCTGATTGGCTGGTTGCAAACCACGCCCCGTAAAACTCTGAAAAGCTTTGTGAAGCCGCCATTGTATTTCCTGGCATTAGCATTATTAGCATTAGCATTAGCCCCGCGCACCAACGGAGAGAGACTAACTTATGGCAACACAAAAGAAAACATGGGAGCGGTGGAGATGAGGAGGTGTCGGCGTTCTGGTGATTTACTCGGAAGCCAGTCCCCAACTCCGGGGACTTCCGGCCGGGGACTTCGGGTGGCAGTATACGCCGTGAAGTTGTTTGCGGCCTGCCAGTAAACCCAAAGCAGAAGAAGAAGAAGTGACGTCAGCGGCTCATTTGCGTAATCCTTCCTCAGGGAACTTATTCCGGTGTGAACGCGATCGGCTCTTAGTTCCATAGGGAAACTAAGTGCTGGGAACTAAGTACTGGGAACTAAGTGCTGGGAACTAGACCCAGGCCGTTGCACGCATCTCTGCTTGTCTAGCTGACATCTCTCAGTGGATGTCTGCTCACCACCTCAAGCTCAACCTTGACAAGACTGAGCTGCTCTTCCTCCCGGGAAAAGATTGTCCCACTCTTGACCTAACAATCAACATCGGCACCTCAGTTGTTTCCCCGACTCAGACTGCAAGGAATCTGGGTGTGACCCTAGATAACAACCTGTCCTTCACTGCAAACATCCCTACAACCCGCTGCTGCAGATACACGCTTTACAACATCAGGAGGATACGTCCCCAGCTGACTCAGAAAGCGACTCAGGTTCTGGTCCAGGCTCTCGTCATCTCACGCCTAGACTACTGCAACTCCCTCCTGGCTGGTCTACCTGCATGTGCCATCCGACCTCTGCAGCTCATCCAGAATGCAGCGGCTCATCTGGTCTTCAACCTTCCTAAATTCTCCCACACCACTCCGCTCCTCCGCTCCCTTCACTGGCTTCCGGTAACTGCTAGAATCCACTTCAAGACACTGGTACTTGCTTACCATGCTGCGAATGGATCTGGCCCTTCCTACATCCAGGACATGGTTAAACCGTACACCCCAGCGCGTGCACTACGCTCTGCATCAGCCAAACGACTCGCTGCACCCTCGCTGCGAGGGGGACCCAAGTTCCCATCGGCGAAAACACGTGGGTTTGCTGTCCTGGCTCCAAGATGGTGGAATGAGCTCCCCATTGACATCAGGACAGCAGATAGCTTACACACCTTCCGGGGGAGACTGAAAACTCATCTCTTTCGACTCCACTTCGAGCGATAGAATTATTAACAAAGCACTTATATACTAATAAAGGGCTGGATTACCTAAAGCCAGTTGAGTAGCACTTGAAATGTTTGGCTCTATGAAACCTGATGTACTTATATGATTCTGTTTTCTTCAAGGTTGTGTCTTCCTGGTCGAATGTACTTATTGTAAGTCGCTTTGGATAAAAGCGTCAGCTAAATGCAATGTAATGTAATGTAATGTAACTAAGTGCTGGGAACTAAGTGCTGGGTACTAAGTGCTGGGAACTAAGTGCTGGGAACTAAGTGCTGGGAACTAAGTGCTGGGAACTAAGTACTGGGAACTAAGAGCTGGGTACTAAGTGCTGGGAACTAAGAGCTGGGTACTAAGTGCTGGGAACTAAGTGCTGGGAACTAAGTGCTGGGAACTAAGTACTGGGAACTAAGAGCTGGGTACTAAGTGCTGGGAACTAAGTGCTGGGAACTAAGTACTGGGAACTAAGTGCTGGGTACTAAGTACTGGGAACTAAGAGCTGGGTACTAAGTGCTGGGAACTAAGAGCTGGGTACTAAGTGCTGGGAACTAAGTACTGGGAACTAAGTGCTGGGAACTAAGTACTGGGAACTAAGAGCTGGGTACTAAGTGCTGGGAACTAAGTGCTGGGAACTAAGTACTGGGAACTAAGTACTGGGTACTAAGTGCTGGGAACTAAGTACTGGGTACTAAGTACTGGGAACTAAGTGCTGGGTACTAAGTGCTGGGTACTAAGTGCTGGGAACTAAGTGCGGCAAGGGACTTGGTGTGAAAGCAGCTATTGTATGTTTTCCTGGAGGAGCGTGGGACTTAAAATGTTCTTTCCAACAACTTCGCTGTAGCTATTTTTTATATAAATAATAACGCCTTTCAATCTTGTGACAGATGTAACTGTACCATTTAACCCTTTGTAGAATTTAGTGGTGTTGCTAGGCAGAATATAAACCATCCAGGCTAGATGTTTTCTCCTGTTTTTTATGCTAAGTTAAGCTAACTACTGGATGTTGCTTCATATGTAACAGATTACAGTGATATCACATTTAAATAGGTGTTTGCAAAACCATTAAACTACGCAATTTCACTTTGCAGAAATGAAAAACATATTCTTGTGATGTATCCTTCAATTTCTAGAATAACTCATCTTATTCTTCATCTTAGTGTTTTAATAAGTGAACAATTCATCTTACAGTTTTGACCAAGTAAGTGCAAGTAAGACTAATAAATGTCCCACTAACTTGCACCTTCTTCCCCTCACTTTCTGTTTACTCCCCACCTTTTATATCCCCCTCCCCACTCACTCTTGTGTCATGTGCACCACGGCCTCTGGAGAGGTGTACCCGGCGGCGGTGAAGTTGTCCCGGTATTTCTCCATGCCGATGGCCTGCAGCCAGTCCTCCACCGTGCCCACGGATGAGGACGCCGCCTCGGGGCTCCCCGGCTCCAACAGGGTGGTGCTCGGCCTGGTGGGTGGAGGAGAGGACGGGGGGGAGTTAATAATAGTGTCATAACTTACAGACAGTGTTTGGTTCTCTAACTGTAGCCCAAAAACCACAATGTCTGACATAGGGTTGGCTTGAGAGGGAACATAGAGTGGTGCATTGAGGATTTGTTTTGTTAGCTGAACAGGATGTCAGCATCTCAAAGGGCTCCGTCGACAAAAAGCCAATGGGATTTGAACATTGAATTTCGGGAATAATGCGGAAAATAAAATATTTGGCAAAGAAACGTTTAGTTACAAAGGATAATCTCCACATGTACTCCACACACTTTTATGAATTTTGAAGCGTTAATGCGATCTCCAGAAGCAAAAAGGTAACGTTAGGCTATAAATGAACTTCACGTCTTCACCGCTAAGCTAAAGGCGGCTAATGTTGGGCGTCTCATTTCGTCACAATTGTTAACATAGAAGCTTCATACATTCACCAGTGGGGTGTTTACTGATATATTGTTTTGCTTTAGAACAAAACATCGCTTTTGGAAACAGCAGAACTTATATCTAAACTTTTAAACACGTTAAAAAAAAGGATTGACTTTCGGGCGAAGGAACCAGAAGTGGTGAAATGCTGACTCATATCCAGGTTTAGGGGCTACTTTCTTGCCTCTCTATTACATGATTTAAAGTATCTATATTCCTGGCTGTGATGCTGCGCTGAAGTATCATAAAGGTGTGACCAATCACCTCGTGCGATGACAGGAAGCTATCCTCAAGCTGTCAGAAAGCTTCATGCTACATTTCTCTCAAGCTTTTCCTCCTCCTGTGAGGTTCAGATCGCTTTTGTGTTACCGTCTTGTGGGTCCTACCAGAAACCGAGCCAAGCCAAACACAGTTCCTCTCCTGGGTGTGACCGACACACTTAGTTAATCCTTATTTTACAGAAAATACACAACCCAGGCACACCTCGGTGAGTTTTACCGCCCGCTGGAGGTCCTGCTCACATTCACATATTCATCAGCAGAATTACCTCCCGCTCTGTTCACTTCCTACTCTCTCCTTTTCTCAAGCTTTCCCTTTCTGTAGCAGTGCCGTCGGCCATGAAACATTTACATGGGGCCGGTGAGTCTGAGACGGTGGCGGTCTTGTTACGCTTTGGTACACACACACACACACACACACACACACACACACACACACACACACACACACACACACACACACACAATTAATGACCTCCAATTTGTCCCCATAAGGGAGGCGAGTCCCCACACGTGACTATGTAAACATATTTGGGTCCCCACAAGTATAGTAATGCTAGGCCACACACACACACACACGTTCTACTTCCCCCCTTCTCTCTTGTAACTGTAAAAGCTGCATTTATAGAATTCAGTTCTGCTAATTACTCCATGAGGACTCCCCTCTTGCTCTCTCTGTGTCCCATTAGGGTGAGAGTGTGTTTTTCTCACACACTCGTTAAAGTCAAACAGACTGCGGCTAGTCTGTAAACACACGTAGGTCATCCCGAACACATTTAGCCGCTCGAGAGTAATGGTGTTGGAGCCGCCGAGGTCATGTTTGTTTTTAACTCGCCGTTACATCGTAATTCCCCCCCCCTACATTCCTGAGTGTGCAGCACCATTAAACCTGGTTTGCAGAAAAATCCATTACAGATGGTGTTTGTGCTGAAAAGTGCCAAACGTCGCTGGTAGATAATGTTTAATGGTGAATGTAAACACCAACGAGAGAAATGGAGTGTGTGTGTGTGTGTGTGTGTGTGTGTGTGTGTGTGTGTGTGTGTGTGTGTGTGTGTGTGTGTGTGTGTGTGTGTGTGTGTGTGTGTGTGTGTGTGTGTGTGAGAGAGGGGTAGAATGTCACGTACTTAATACATTGTGCAGTAAATAGGTTGCATAGGTGTGTTTATGCACATTAAACACAGCAAATGTGCAGGTTTTAGCTGCTAACTTTGAACTGTGCTTTGTTTTTAAAGACAGCTGGAGCATTCCATGATAGGGCTATAAAGCGTATTTCTGGTTTGGAAGCGTTGTGTGTGTGTGTGTGGTGTTTTAGTCGAGCCAAATTCATAAACACAGTTGCAAAGAATATGTGAAACCAACGTGTATACTAGTTATACTCCTGGATTGTGTGACTTTTTTCTAAAAGGTTGGGATATTACGAACATTTTCAGCTAATTAATCACATTTTAAATGGTGAATCCATATTTTACAACCTAACTTATGTTCCTAAGTTGGTGGTGGCTTTCAAAGAAACCTGTGTGCTCACTGCAGTCTTGATTATGCTTACTTCAGGTGTATATCAGTATGTAGTGTCTCTACTTTAAAGAGTCCTCTCCTGTTGATGTTCAGGTGTATATCAGTATGTAGTGTCTCTACTTTAAAGAGTCCTCTCCTGTTGATGTTCAGGTGTATATCAGTATGTAGTGTCTCTACTTTAAAGAGTCCTCTCCTGCTGATGTTCAGGTGTATATCAGTATGTAGTGTCTCTACTTTAAAGAGTCCTCTCCTGCTGATGTTCAGGTGTATATCAGTATGTAGTGTCTCTACTTTAAAGAGTCCTCTCCTGTTGATGTTCACGTGTATATCAGTATGTAGTGTCTCTACTTTAAAGAGTCCTCTCCTGCTGATGTTCAGGTGTATATCAGTATGTAGTGTCTCTACTTTAAAGAGTCCTCTCCTGCTGATGTTCAGGTGTATATCAGTATGTAGTGTCTCTACTTTAAAGAGTCCTCTCCTGCTGATGTTCAGGTGTATATCAGTATGTAGTGTCTCTACTTTAAAGAGTCCTCTCCTGTTGATGTTCACGTGTATATCAGTATGTAGTGTCTCTACTTTAAAGAGTCCTCTCCTGCTGATGTTCAGGTGTATATCAGTATGTAGTGTCTCTACTTTAAAGAGTCCTCTCCTGCTGATGTTCAGGTGTATATCAGTATGTAGTGTCTCTACTTTAAAGAGTCCTCTCCTGCTGATGTTCAGGTGTATATCAGTATGTAGTGTCTCTACTTTAAAGAGTCCTCTCCAGCTGATGTTCAGGTGTATATCAGTATGTAGGTTCTCTACTTTAAAGAGTCCTCTCCTGCTGATGTTCAGGTGTATATCAGTATGTAGTGTCTCTACTTTAAAGAGTCCTCTCCTGCTGATGTTCAGGTGTATATCAGTATGTAGTGTCTCTACTTTAAAGAGTCCTCTCCTGCTGATGTTCAGATGTATATCAGTATGTAGTGTCTCTACTTTAAAGAGTCCTCTCCTGCTGATGTTCAGGTGTATATCAGTATGTAGTGTCTCTACTTTAAAGAGTCCTCTCCTGCTGATGTTCAGGTGTATATCAGTATGTAGTGTCTCTACTTTAAAGAGTCCTCTCCTGCTGATGTTCAGATGTATATCAGTATGTGGTGTCTCTACTTTAAAGAGTCCTCTCCTGCTGATGTTCAGGTGTATATCAGTATGTAGTGTCTCTACTTTAAAGAGTCCTCTCCTGCTGATGTTCAGGTGTATATCAGTATGTAGTGTCTCTACTTTAAAGAGTCCTTCCTGTGACATGTCTCCATGCTTTAATGTTCAAAAAGCTCTTTATTGTTCTCATACTGCAGCATCTCTTTTCACCCTCTGTCTGAAACCAGAGCCCAGTCTGCTCTAATTGGTTAGCTGGCCGCCTCTATTGTGATTGGTCAACCGCTTAGAGATGTCCCGCCTCTTAGTCTATCACTTACAATGTGTTGGAGCGCTAGCCATTAAAAGCGCAATTTTTACTTAATGATGTCATTATGTTATGGAAGTAAACAAAGGAGTCCGATCGAAACAATCTGTGTTTTTCGGCTGTGAAACAAAAACGAGTGTCGCGTTTTTTTTGTATAATAAAGTATTAAACATAAGAAGTACAATAACCGCTTAGAGAGGTCCCGCCTCTTAGTCTATCACGTACAATGTGTTGGAGCGCTAGCCAATTGAAGCGCGAGTGTTACATAGTGACAGTTCAATAGAAACTCCATCTGAAGGGAACTTTGGGATTTAAGCCTTTGCAGACCATTTACATGCACACAAATAACACATTACAGGAAAGGGAAACACCCCTATTTTTCTTTGATTGTGGTGCCTCCTCACCTGACAGCCGTCTCCCCTCCGGTCCTCTTCAGAGTGTTGGGGTTTCGGATCAGTTTGTCCAGCATGTTGACGATCTGTCCGAACTTCGGCCGGTCGGCCCTCTCTCGCTGCCAGCAGTCCAGCATGAGTTGGTGCAGGGCCACGGGGCAGTCCATGGGGGGGGGCAGTCGGTAGCCCTCATCGATCGCCTTGATCACCTAAACACGAGATCAATGGTACTGTAAGTGGCAAATTAAAAGTTTGATAACACCCTCTCCTAACGTTATACCCACATAATTTGTATCCACATTACTTCAGGCACCTACGCAAGACATTTGGAAATGCATAAATACAATTATTTATCATCATTAGCGCCGATAGATGTAATGTTTAATGAGAAAAGGGAATATATCGATGCAGTTTTATCACCCCTGGAGGCAATTTGATTACAACTTAATATGATGAATTATCTTTTGAAAACGTCTGACAGCACACATGCAACTGGGAATTATTACTCAAGCTGCGAAATCAAACCTAATTCCCGCTGTATATTATTTATGTTCGTCCCCGTGTTTAATTACATTTCCTCACGACTTACGTCTTGGTTGCTCATGTCCCAGTATGGTCGCTCGCCGTATGACATCACCTCCCACATGACGACGCCGTAGCTCCACACGTCGCTGGCCGAGGTGAACTTCCTGTAAGCGATGGCCTCGGGGGCCGTCCAGCGGATGGGGATCTTCCCTCCCTGTAATTGAAAGATGGGATCATTAATGAAAGCCAACAAGCAAGGAAGACCACATGCTCCCCCAACACAGGTGGGAAGTAGTGGAGTACAAATACTTCGTTGCTGTACTTAAGTACATTTGTCTGGTATCAGTACTTTACTCCACTACTTATTTTTCTGACGACTTTTCATTTTAACTTCTTACATGTTGAACACAAATACCTGTACTTTCTACTTCTTACATGTTGAACACAAACACCTGTACTTTCTACTTCTTACATGTTGAACACAAATACCTGTACTTTCTACTTCTTACATGTTGAACTCAAATACCTGTACTTTCTACTTCTTACATGTTGAACTCAAATACCTGTACTTTCTACTTCTTACATGTTGAACTCAAATACCTGTACTTTCTACTTCTTACATGTTGAACACAAATACATGTACTGTCTACTTCTTACATGTTGAACACAAATACCTGTACTTTCTACTTCTTACATGTTGAACACAAATACCTGTACTTTCTACTTCTCACATGTTGAACTCAAATACCTGTACTTTCTACTTCTTACATGTTGAACTCAAATACCTGTACCTTCTACTTCTTACATGTTGAACACAAATACCTGTACTTTCTACTTCTCACATGTTGAACACAAATACCTGTACTTTCTACTTCTTACATGTTGAACACAAATACCTGTACTTTCTACTTCTTACATGTTGAACTCAAATACCTGTACCTTCTACTTCTTACATGTTGAACACAAATAGCTGTACTTTCTACTTCTTACATGTTGAACACAAATACCTGTACTTTCTACTTCTTACATGTTGAACTCAAATACCTGTACTTTCTACTTCTTACATGTTGAACTCAAATACCTGTACTTTCTACTTCTTACATGTTGAACCCAAATACCTGTACTTTCTACTTCTTACATGTTGAACTCAAATACCTGTACTTTCTACTTCTTACATGTTGAACACAAATACCTGTACTTTCTACTTCTTACATGTTGAACTCAAATACCTGTACTTTCTACTTCTTACATGTTGAACTCAAATACCTGTACTTTCTACTTCTCACATGTTGAACTCAAATACTTGTACTTTCTACTTCTTACATGTTGAACTCAAATACCTGTACTTTCTACTTCTCACATGTTGAACTCAAATACCTGTACTTTCTACTTCTTACATGTTGAACTCAAATACCTGTACTTTCTACTTCTTTCATGTTGAACACTAATACCTGTACTTTCTACTTCTTACATGTTGAACACAAATACCTGTACTTTCTACTTCTTACATGTTGAACTCAAATACCTGTACTTTCTACTTCTCTCATTTTCCAAACAGCTGGTTCCTTTAGTTTGAATGTGTGTTTGATGCGTGATCATTATTCTTTAGAGTCATTGCGTGCCTATTGATTTGAACACGATCCGTGTATCCATCATTTCCTGGTCTTCTCTAAAGAAGAGGGACCAATGGAAACGTTGTCATGTTGCCGTTGTTCAGCATGGAAACATTCATTAGCTAACAATGACATTATTGTTCTATTGATATAAAGGGAGGTCAGGTACTCTTTAAAGCAGCTGCTAGTTATGGGTACTTTTTACTGAAGTACACTTCAAAGCCTTTACTTTGGCTTGAGCAAAGAAGTTTAGTCAGTACTTCTACTTTCACCAGAGTATTTTTAAACACGAGTATCTGTACTTCTACTTGAGTAAAGGATGTGTGTACTTGTGCCCTCTCTGTCCCCCTAAGTCTATATGGCCTGGACTCCCAAGAAGTGAGAACAGAACTAGGTCAAAAAGCTTTTAGATATGCTGCCCCTTCTGCTTGGAATAATGTACAGAAGGAGCTGAAACTGTCAGATTTGATCACTATGGGGGAATTCAAGTCCATCTTATAGGAAGAGTTATAGAGTTTGATGGCCAATGAGACTCTACCTGGTTAAATAAAGGATATATGTATAAATGCTCACCCTGGTGGTGTACGCAGCCTCCGGGTCGTCCTCCAGCACTCGGGACATGCCGAAGTCGGACACCTTGCACACCAGGTTGCTGTTCACCAGGATGTTTCGAGCCGCCAGGTCTCTGTGAACGTAGCTCATGTCCGACAGGTACTTCATGCCCGACGCGATGCCACGCAGGATGCCCACCAGCTGGATCACCGTGAAGCGCCCGTCGTTCTTCTGCAGGGGGACAAATGAAAGCTTTAGCGCAAGTTCAATAAGGAAGACCTAACACGAGTCACTTACACGTCACTCTATGGCTCCCTTCCCCCCTCATTAAATACGAGGGCGTCACCCCTCAGCAGCCAATCGCTGCACATGCTAAATGCCTTAAATGCCTGCTCTTCCTCCCTGTCAGTTGTCATTGCAGATGATCACACGCAACCCGCCTCCACCCCTCTCGCCTCCTGTCTCCTTCAGGACAAAGCTAAACCTTCCTCCTTCAGACCGGTCTCACCTACTCATCACCACCACCAGTGTCTAGACCCCGGGGATTTCATCGGAGCGGTGCTTTCCCTCCTGAATGATTATCTTGCAAACCGGGGCCTAATCGCCAAACACCATTACATTCTCCTGTTGTATTATCATGGCAATCATTTCATTCATATGACGTGTAAACAATAAATATGTAATCCTTACATCACGTCTCTCCGGTTTGAAATGTAATGTTTAGTCAACATCATCTCACTGGCATATTTACTGTTTCACCTCAACATACAACTGCAAACATTTCACATTTGTCCTGGTGGCAATAATGATAACTCTATTACTATGACTGTATTTCTACTATTATATATTTTGAATTGATTTCATTAGATAGAGAATTTAATAAATATTGAACACAGAGCATGAAACTAAAGTGATGGTGTCTCAATTTTAATACATTATTTTTAACGTTTGCTGTCAGAGAATATTTGGGGCATTTGTAGACTCATACTAGTTACGGATTGTTTTGTTTCGTACATGTTAATATGTGTTTTTATGAGTTTTTATATACAATTAATACAGCTACTCTTATGTTAACAGTTAGGGATGTTGATAATCCTTACAGTGTGTTACTTATGAAGCACTGCTAGTCGGCATGTAACTGTATGGATTATAACAACAACAAACATCTAAAATAGTTCATAATACAAATTGCAATGAAACTGTTAGCAATAAGAGTTATGAGAAAACAATTAAAAGCCTCCCTGTATTTACTTACAACAACAACAACAACAACAACAACAACAACAAGGTGTTATTGGTGCAACGTGACCAGTACAGCATGTTCCTTTGTAATTCCCTTTGTGAGTGTATTCTCTGGATAAAGCATTATGGTTGCACTCAAAGGGCCGGTTGTAATTTTAATTATATATAAATATACATATGTAAATATATAGTATATATTAAATAATGTATTATATTACATTGTTGGCCCTGCATTGGATTATTATCAGTTCTGGTAATATCTTCCTAAATTACTACGTCTGAGTCTAGGGCAAATCATTGAAAGCAAATATTCAACAATTACACCTCTTGTATTGTATATTGTATTCTTTGCAAGCTCTTGCGGGCCACATAAAATGAGGTCGCGGGCCGGATTTGGCCCCCGGGCCTTGAGTTTGACACCCCTGATCTAAAACCTCAAAGTGAACCCTGGAATCACGGAGGTGAAACCTGCGCCAACCTCCTCGCCGGAAAACACAGTAAGTCGATCAAGGAGAGGATGGAGATTAGGACGAATGTTTGTGAACCAACGCTTGTAATTTGAGGGGGGGGGGGTGACATTACAGAGATGGGATCAGCAGCAGCGTGCTACAGTCACACACATGTGCGCAGACAGAAACGCATGACTGACCCTCAGGAATGCGTCCAGCGATCCGTTCTCCATGTACTCTGTGATGATCATCACGGGCTTACCTAGGGAGAGGGGGGAGAGAGAGGCAGATGATTATGGGGGTAAACGATGCACATCACAGCAGGGAGGTTCTCCAGGGAATGTGTGAGTGTGTGTTAGGCCATCCATCTCTGTCCCGTAGTGATTTAATTAGCTCCGTGTTACGGTTGCCCTGACGTCCCTCGTCTTCCCCTGCACATGCAAAGGCATCTCTGCTGTGATGTAGAAGCTTTTAAACAACAACTGAAGACCTATAAATAACAACTGGAGACCCATCTTTTCACATTGGCTTTTGTTTCTACTTGAGATGTGTGTGATGTGTTCCGTTCTTATGTGTGCTCCTTTCGGACTCTTCGTGGTCTGTGTTTTTGTTAACCTTCTGCCTCATGTCGTACTGATCGGTCTTCATTTGAACTGTTGTTCTTTATTGTGAAGCACTTTGTGAATTGTATTTCTGTGAAAGGTGCTATACTAAATAAACATATTATATTATTATTATTACTGAAACACAACACCAGTGATGTAATGTAGTGAAGTACATTCACCCAATTGTTGTACTTTAGCACGATTTCAGCTTACTTGTACTTTACTTGGAGTATCAGTTTGTGTGTTTACGCAAATATGAATTGACGTTAGACGCATTATCCGAATCACAGTCACTCACCCTCTGACTAGCTATTTATGTCCCTCGCTGTCTCTTTGCCCCCTCTTTCTCCTCTGCCACCTTAGGCTGCATCTGTCACTCTCCTCTCTATCGCTTTCTCTCTTTTCCCCCTGATCTCTGGCCTCTCTCGCCCCATCCCTCTGTCTTCCCATCTCCCGTCTCATGGGGAAGCGTCTGTGTCTTTATCTGAGTCTGGGCAGGCTGTAGGGAGGGTGGACTTTCCCTGGTGGGTCTGTGTCTGTCTTTGTCTATAGGATGAGGGGGGATAGCGGTCATGAGGAGAGGAGAAAGAGAGACAGGAAGGGAGGGTGTTTTTGTCCTAAAATGGCAGCAAGCTGGTGTCCAACCCGCCATGAACAACACATGCTAAAAAAAGTGCTGCTACAGATTCCTCCTAGAAAAGTGCTAGTCTTTGCGTTTCCATTTTAAATGCAGATTTAACGCCAACGCAGAGGGGAGGTGAAATGCACCCTGGGAGAAAAAAAAGACTGCAGCAGTTGGCAGCTGAAGTCTTGAAGGTGAAGTTCCTCCATCCACGGCAGGATTTTTGCCAAAAGGCCGTCAGTCACCGCCTTACCCGCCGCGTGATTGGCACCCCATTAATTACAGGGCGCTGCGGCGATGCCCCCAAAAAAGAGGAGGTTGAGTTAGAGACGGGGGGCCCTCTTTGTCAGCCATCTTTGTTCCCTTTGTTGCCTGTCTGTGCCCCCAGGCTGCCGGTGATTGACAGCTCCCGAATCAAGTCTGAGGAGCGTCTGACCTGCGACCTTAAACTCTCGCCTCCCTAGCCCCGCCCCCTTCCTCCCTCACCATTTGCATGCTAATTCCGTGTTTACTGAAAACGCCCTGCCGCCTTTGGCAATGAACTCTGGGCGAGGGGCCGATTATCACCTGCCAACAAAACAGGGGAAGGGGAGAAGCGCAACACGGGGACAAACGTTGGACAAATGCTCTCCAGAGGCCCCGGCGTTTGCAGCGAACAAAGATCTGGCTTTTTAAACGCAGATCTATTTTAAATTAGCACGCTCTCACTTTTATGTAAATCAGATGTTAAACACATCCCGAGCTGTAACGGGGGCTGGGTTTTAATTACACACTAGCATGATGGAAGCTTATACAGGCTCCAAGATGGTGGACTACAGCCAGCAGTCCCTGGTGAGAGATTTCAGCACATTTATGTATTTCAGTGTCTATTTGGAGTTCCTCCATAATTAATGAGGCTTAATTGTCTCTGTTGGACATGCCAGCATACTGAGGCCAGATTGAGCATTCCTTTTAACTTGATTGTAATGGAGACGGGAGTGCCATTCAATTAATGGATTTTTAATAGATTCTGCAAACACACTCAAGTGTGAAGGAGTAATCTGCCCCGACCTAGTGTCAGGCTCCCAGAAGTAAGAGTGGATGGAGATGGAGGTGGAGCTGTTGATCCTCTTGCTTTAGATCTCCCTCTCTCATGTTGAATCCTGTCTCTGCTGTAGCTCTTCTGTTTCTCCTCCTCTGTCTCGCTCCGTCTCTCTCAGCCTCCGCTTCAGTGCTTCCACCTCCGCTTTCCCTCTCTGTCGTTCCCACTGTTGTTCTCTGTCTTTCGTCCAATCCATCAGCCACTAACCGCCTTCCTGTCTCTTCCTGTCCGCATCTCTATTCGCACCTTCGCTGTCTGCTGCTCGTCTCCGATTTCTTCCCCTTCCTCCTGTCCATCTGTCCGCCTTCTCTCTTGTTTTCCTCACAAGGTCTGAGAGGTCATTCCCCGTGGTGAGAGGTGTGAGAGGTGATAAGCAATTCTGCCTCTGCCGCTGTTCACTTTCAGCTGCGACTGAATGTGTGTATGTGTGTGGTGTGTGGTGTGTGTGTTTGTGTGTGTGTGAGAGAGACGCTGTTATCTAGCACAGATAGAGCCAGGCTGTTGTGTCACGACACATTAAGACACTTCATCCATCTAACCCAGGCTGGCCATCAGCTATGGTAACACTCACGCACACATGTGTGCAATCAAAGGTGTGTGTACAATGATGTAGAAGGACATATATATACAAGAAATATAACGTTATACAATGTAGTAAAGGACACAGAATGTGATCATTATGGTTATTAATGTTAAGAGCAGATTGTGTGTGAACTCAAGACAAGGCCTCAAAAACTGTGGAAGGTTAAACGAGAAGGCCATTTTCAGTAGGTTCAGGTAAAGTATTCTTCTCATTCTCTGGAGTTAATGGGGTACGAAGTTACGGAGCAGTAACTACCCTCTCATGTGCTGGAAAACTAAGAAGGGCAAGTGTTGGTCAATGTAGTGCAAATAACTCGCCCATGGACACGGAAACGTGTACAAAAACATATGTGAAAAAGGGTTACAACAAAGAATAGGGGAGGTGGTTTATCGTCGTTCAGTCAGCCAATAGGAAACAAGGATGCTTTAGCTATACAAATGCTAATACAACATTTGTTCAACAGCATGATCCCGGGGTCTGCTCGGTCTTTGTTTTCTGTCTAAAAGAAAGTTATTTTGCATCGTACTGTTCGAGTTTTAGGGCTACGAAATTGTCGAGAAGGAGGCCCGTACTCTTTAAGATCTCTTCCAACAACAAGACATCCAAAAAGCATGGTGGTAAAGGGAGGAGGAAACAAAGAGACGGAAAGGAGAGAGCGCCCAGGGCGGAGGGAGAAGTGGCCGAGCAGCAGCAGATAGAGGAGGGATAAGGTATCACTCCCTAACCCCAAACACATTTACAGCTGACACCATGATTAATGAGCCTGGTTCCCCGCTACAGGGCCTGTTCTTGGACCCATTAGACCCCCCTCCAAACTGCCCTGATACCTCTAAATCTCTAAATCTACCTCCCCCTTCCCAACGAACGCTAGACCCCTTCCATCTGGACAAAACCCACCTGGGGATACCCCGGATGGGACACGTATATGTAAAATACGGGACTCTTAGAACAGATGCAACACGAGTGGTCGTATATCACGAGACACTGTAGCTTTGCATGCATTAAAACACACACAAATGCCCCCAACACACACACCCACACACACACACACACACACACAAACAAACACACCCACACACACACACACACACACACACCACACACACACACCACACAATACACATACACACACACACACACACACACACACACACACACACACACACACACACCTTTGGCTAGTAAAGATGGCTTTGTCCCTAAACCCACCCTTTCTCCAAAGTCACCCAAAACTGCAGACTGGGTTTGAAATGATTTATTGTTATGTGATTTCTTTTTTAAAGGGAGAAAGCAGAAATGAATGTCCTTTCTGTGTTATTATAATAAGAAAGTCATTGTGTGTGTGTGTGGTGTGGTGTGGTGTGGTGTGTGTGTGTGTGTGTGCGTGTGGTGTGCGTGTGTGT